TCATTCTTGGCCTGTAGATACAAGTCAGCATGAGAAAACACATGTTGGATCTAGACGCATTTTGCCACCCCTAGGTCTACATGACTGTCAAATGTCTTGGTGTTGTCTCCTTCTTCTCTGCCATGGCACGGCTGAACTCGAACACGCACCAAACCCTCTTAAGGTAGAGAGGCTCTTGCCATGGGCTCATCATCGCCTTGGCACACCAGCTCGGCCACAAAACGAACTTGGGACACCATCTCGGAGGTCTAATTAAATTCTAATTAAATTCTAATTAATAGCTATTTGTTCCTAATAGCTTCTTGTTACTACTAGTAAGGCACTTGTTACTAGAAGCGATGCACTTGTTCCTAGTGGCAAGGGAAAACAACAAACCAACGGAGCCAATGAGCATATCTCCAAGGGCAACCTTGGAGCCCGGTGCCTAATCCTATGGAGGCTCTATGACTCTATGCGCGGCGCTGCAGGACAAAAAATTCTGCAATGGCCTCCAACCTACTCCGATCAGCAATGGCCTACAACCTAAGAGCGAATGGCCTCCAACTAAGAGCGATGACCAAAATAGTAGCGATGGCTGCAGGACTAGAAACTGCAATTGCAGTTAAGAACGATCGATCCCCTCTGCACAGCGGCATTTTCCCATCGCTGATGCAGCTCCCAGGAAAGAAGAGTGGCAATCCACTGGATCAAGTGACCTTTCCTTTTTGAACTCGAGAAGATCAGGGGAGGCTTTTGGAGAATCCATTGTCCCATTGTTCCATTTGTTGGAGACCTATTCTTGGAGGATCAAGCGAATCTGACTGAGATAAAGTCCACTGGAACCAAATGACCAACGCCTTCCGACGGAAAAGTTGCTACCGGAGACCCAAAAGGATCACTACTTGCTCTTGGCCATTCTCTTGGTTCATGCACTTTGTCCATTGATCCCAAAACGGTCTTGGTTTTGGAATGATAAATCCCCTTTTGCTCTCAAGGTTCAACCTCAACTCCCGAGTGAGATTTGCCTCAACGCCCACCTGCCAGCCAGAGAGCTAAAATATGGGATACTCCCGCAACACGTTTACCGAAGGCTTCTTCGAACTCTTTGAAAGGAACAACTTCTCCCGCTGCCTGAAGGCATGAGGGCCGAGACGCAAGCTTAGGAAATGCTCAAGTCGTCAATAAATTATTAAGCAGCTCTGGTGCTGCATTCACCTATGACATATGACTATCTCATATCTCTGGACACGAATGCATTGAAAAGAACATCGATATGATGCACTCGTCACTCGTGCCCCAGACATGCACTGCTACGCATCTGCAAAACCTTTCCATCGTAAGGGTTTGATGACATTCCGCCTGGGCTTCCTTCACCCGGTGCTGATTGATGCACAGGCAACAGATCCTTGGAATCGAAACGGCGCGGCGTGCGACATCGCCGTCGGAACGGTCAAGTCGCTTTGGACAAAAAGGATCCCGGCAAGAGACCCCAAGGCAGTGTCCAGTACAACAACAAGGGATAACAAGAATGAACCCCTAGTGGACCACACGGTTTTGGAAAAAGAGGACATGTCAGGATCCAAAAAGGAACCTCAGACTTGATTGCCCCCTTTCTACTGACAAGGTAGCAGAATTGATGCACAAACCCGGGCCCATTTGAATCGTCCCACCTGAATCCCAGACCAACCTGAGACAAAATGCCACACATATCTGTGTACATCTCGCCCGAAGAAGTCCGTCAAGGTGTCAGCAATTGTCCCCACTCCATATCCCCAGCTGTAGGACAACATGAACTCCGATTTCCCAGCACCAGGTCCTCGTGCAGCTATGGCTGGGCAGGAATTTTCGGGTGTTCAATATTTCAGTCTGTTAAGGACCATATGGCTATATGTCTATATGGCTATATGGCTATTTGGCTATATGGCTATATGGCTATACGGCTTTAGGCTATCTATCTGTCTATCTGTCTATCTGTCTATCTGTCTGTCTATCTGTCTATCTGTCTATCTGTCTATCTGTCTATCTGTCTGTCTGTCTGTCTGTCTGTCTGTCTGTCTGTCTGTCTGTCT